AAAGTGAACGAGACCAAGGGGTCCAGATCACGCACTCCAACTCAAGTAGATCAGGAGGTGCAGGTGCTAACACCGTTATTGTTTTTTAATGTCAGTTATTTTTTTATTGACCACAGTTAATACTGCTTTGATAAATAAGTCTCCTAAGATAGATAGATAGAGAGATAGATAGATAGATAGATAGATAGATAGATAGATAGATAGATAGATAGATAGATAGATAGATAGATAGATAGATAGATAGATAGATAGATAGAACAATTGCTAGCTTAATACTTAGGAAAGTTGCTCGTCAGATAATAAGCTAGTAGCACGATTAGCAGGATTATTAAGCCTATTAACTCACTGAACTCACAACAATGTATTATTATTTGCATTCATTGGATGTTTCACTTGTTGTTTAAAAATACATTTTTCACTGTGTACATATGTAACCACGACAACTTAACCGTAACATTAAGCTAGCAGCAGGAATGACAATAATGTTTTTTTCTAAGCAGAGCTGCTGACACACATGTCGTCTGTACGTGATATATCCATGTATAGACAGATGGATGTTTCACATTTATAGAAGGTGGAAACATGAAGGACTGGAATTAAAATTTCTTGATAATCAAGTAAATGTCACAGCTGCCTTTGATTTTGTTAAATGTTTCTTACTGTGAAAGTATGTCAGGGAATTCAGCAGGTACTCTCACAGATGAAGAGACCGTGGTATGGACTAAATTATATCATCACTTTGTAAAATAGTTCGGTATTAAAGTGAACACAATCTCCAAAGGTCACTTTCCCTAACATCATGGATCAAATTCAGCTCATGTAATTTACATAAAAGCCTTTTAACTGAATCTAAAGGTCCTGAAAAGAGAGGGTTGAAAAAAGTAAAGCAGTTTTTCAAAGGTAGCCTAGATTTATTTTTTTTATTTTTTGCTTGGTACATGTTCCCTAACTAAATCCTGCACCCACACTACATTTAACTTCTATGAACTTATCTCTAAAATACAATCTGATTTTTTCCTGATTACCTATAAACCCCCTGCATGGACCCAGAGTTCGTCTCATTTATAATCTGTTTGGTTTATGTGCAAAGCTGCGAGGCTCGGTCAGCTCTCTGCTGCAGACAGTGGCCAGGGATGAGGATATGTCCTGGGCTAGGCGGGAGCAGTTGGCACTGGGAAGAGTGCCATCTAGAGGTAACAGAGGGAGCTACTGTTGCATCTTAGTGTGCATTATTAATGGATGACATTTCAACCCAGAAAAGTAACAAAAATCCTTCAAGGCTTTTTGTTTCCTAACTTTATGATTTCATCCCTGTGTTCACTTTCTCCAGCACCGTCTCCCCTTCCCAGTCGCTCTCGCTCCAGTTCAGTGGGGGAGTCTCTGGGTTTGGGAGGAGGAAGGCCCATGAGAGCCCTGGTCTCTCACCCCTCCTCATCCAACCCAAAGCTTTTGCCTTTTAACAGAGGAGAGACTGTCATCGTGCTGGTCCAGGAGCCGCGAAACGGCTGGCTGTACGGACGCGCAGACAGCAGCCTGCGGTGAGCTGGGTCATTATTGATCCGTGTGCCGACAGACGCATCCAGAAGTGACAGACTGATTATAGTTCATCCTCATGTTCATTGAATTAACCTGTTTTGTACAAGGATATGGAGACAAGGTGGCTGTTCACCTTTTGACTCATTCTTGTGTTTGACAGTGAAACAATGTTTCTTCAAACCTCAATGCACAATGTAGAGGCATTAATTTCTATTGAATGCATCCTGACTTATCATTGATATGCACACAATTCATTTTCCACAAAAGCTTAATTAAATATCTTAACAGGGCCTTGAAAGTATTCACATGCACATTAAACTCTGATTAAGCTGCAATCTGACAATCTGCACAAGGACTAGAATATCGCTGGTCATAGATGCTCTTCCTGTAAGAAGCACAAAACTAGTAGATAAATACCCCAAAACACGTGGAGCTGTAATTACAGCAGAGCATAATTATGCAAATAAGGGAGCTGAGTGGAAATGTGCCCAAAATGCATCAGATTTAGGACTGTGAAAAAAACTGAAAAAAATGTAAAAAAAATAAAAACAAACAAACATACATTTTGCTCCCCTTTTGCCTGATCTGTTTTGTTTGGTGTCTCCTCAGTCAGGGCTGGTTTCCTGCTGCTTATGTGGCTCCAGCTGAAGATTTCTCCAACACTTTATCAACCAGGTGGGAACTTTGTCTCTCAGCGATCCTCATCTTTATGCATTTTTTTTAATTCCACTGTCAAATACTTTCTCCTTCTCCTCATCTTTATTCAGTTATATGTGTAAATGTGTATAATGTGGGACATGATTAGATAAGACAATTGTGGGTAGGATTTAATGAGCTTTGCCTTCGTCCTAGTCCTTGATGTAAAAGGTTTGTTGTTTTATGTTTAATTATTATTATTACACACTTTTTTGTTTTCTAATAGTTTTACATTTACTCTGACATTTTACTTGTTTGAAATAAATAAAAATGTAATTTCCTTCCATTCTCACCTTTCTCGTATTCCTTCTCTCCGAGGAAAAAGTTCAACTATATATAATATTTCCTTTTCCACACATGCTTCCTTTAATGCAGCAGCGTTTCTGTCAGGAGTCACAGCATGAACAACCTTCTGGACACTGACGCTCACACCGAACAGCAGGAGGTCAAGGGTTACGGCGACATCCCGCCGCCGGCGACACCCAGCCGCAGGGCGTCGGTGGACGTCCGGCCGGTTTCCCCGGCGCCCGACAGGCGGACGGAACCAGCGATGGAGACAAAACCTCCACCTCCGCCTCCGCAGCAGAGTTTGAACCTCAGAAGAAGCTCTGTGGACGTTCGATCCGTCTCCCCCATCCCAGACATTAAGGGGGACGTGGCAGCTGATGTTCAGGTACTGTGGTTTTAGTTACATTGTCTGTTTTGTACAAATGAACTGTTCTATTCTTACTCTGTTTTTTTGTTTGTTTGTTTTTTATACTAGGCGTTGTCTCCACATGGGCAGCCTGATAACCCTTTGTTTCCAAGGTAAATTTATATCTGAAAGCAAAACCTACACCAGAAAACATTTGGTATTGGGGGATTTTCTGGGTTTCTTTTGTTTTGGAAACAAAAGATATGAATATATGAATGTAGTTCAATATTCGCTCCTCTGATCAGAGTAAAAGCTTTTTGTGTCCCCAACAAAGCTTGTGGCAAACTGCAAGTGGAGTTTCTTATTCCATACAAACTAGTTCCTTTATTTCTCTTCACATTTGCAACAGTGACCTGTCATTTTAGTAGTAACTTAACCTGAACATTTACAACTATTGACTCAAATAGTTCAGTAAAACAGTTCTGTAAAACACTTTGATTTTGTGGTATTTCCAGCTACTGTAAACCCAAATTAGTAATCCTCTCTAAAGCAGCACACAGCAAGTGATTGCACTGGAAGGTGTAGTTTGTAAAAAAAAATCTAAAACCAAAACAATCTAACTCTGTTTCCATAAATTCTTGTGTCCAGGCTAATGCATTACTTAAGAACTCAAGGTTTAAAAACTAGAGATTGTGAGTAAAATTAACTCAACCATCAGTAATCGTTACTCATGTTTATCAGTGTTTACTTCTCATGTTTTAATTGAATTGTTAATTAAAGCAAATACTCGTTTTGAGTAGTTTACAGTTGGTCTCCACCTTCCGCAAAACAACGAAAATATCGGCATCGATAGCTCAACTCGTGCAAAAGAAGGTTTGTGTTTACAGTGCGTTCTCAGCCCTAATCCTGACGGATCATTTCAGACTTTGGGTTGCAGCAGGTCGAACAGCGCGGCCTCCCGAATCAGAATCCGCCTGCCCCTCGTGTTTGGATCGTCGTGGTGTGGATTTCCTTACCTGGATCGTGTGGACGTGTTTGAATACCTCGCCAGCAGGAGCCAGCTGAGCGCGTGCGGTGTTGTGTAACATTTTCCATCACGCTCTCGTTTCAGGGGCACAAACCCGTTCGCCACGGTGAAGCTTCGTCCGACGACGACCAACGACAGATCCGCTCCTCGGATCCACTGACCGGCCGTCACTAGCGCGAGCGGAGGTCTGTTTCTCAAAGTCTGACGTCGGGTCATGAAGGCAGCAATGTGAAAGCCCTGAACTCTGATGGACAGAGAAATGCTTTGCACGGTGTAGAAAATGCAAAGCGAAGCTGTGTTTTCTGAATTATTTAAACCACAAACCGGAGAAGCTGCTCTGGTCTCTGTTTAGTAATTAAGAGGTTATGTTGTTTTGTTTTTGTCTCCTGTAGTACAGATGTAAGAGGGACATTTAGACTTACTGTTGTCTAAAAGTACAGTTTTTTTTCTCATTAAATGGGAGAATATTGCTTGCTGTTTTTTTATTCCCTCTGCCTCACAGTCAACATACTGCATCTAAAATTTGTATTAGTTTGTTAAATCACTTACAACCAAAACAAAATAAACTGAATTCCCCGTCTTTTCAAAAGTTTTTAGCTGCTTGCTTTTTTTTTTTTTTGACAGTTATCTTTTATGAGCACCAACAAGTGAAGACACGGTATCTCAAATGTTTTTTTATTATCATTTTGACTTCTTTCTTCACAATTCTCCTTACATACGATTCTTTTTTCTTTTTTTTAACCACATCATCTGATCAGAGTTTGGAAGTGAGGAGGAGGAGATGGAGGAAGGGACAGAGGAGAGAAGAGGAAGGTCAGGGAGGGTGGAGGAGGAAGAGCAGTGGGAAGAAAGTGATCTGATGCACAAACAGCCAGAAATAAAACCAGCGAAGAAGACAGAATGCACAAGAAGTTGAGCTTAAAGGATGTCTTGAACATCTACACCACCTACAGCACTATCACCACCCTTTTCATACCACAAACTATCCTCATTTGTCGTAAGTAATGATTCCTAAATCTGTACAGCATTTTTAGTTAGTCAAATATATATATATATATGTATTAAAAAAAAGATGTTGAAGGTGACACTGGTGCGCTGCCGGTGTGATTCTTTTCGGTGTGACTCCCAGGCAGCCCGTCACTGTTAGCGCTTCGAAGAGAACGGGCCTGGCCCGACTCCATAAGAGGGGTCCGGAGGGAGGCAGGAAGGGTGTGGAGGAGGGCGTTTACAAATGAGGGAACGAAGAGACAGAGGAAGAAGAACGGGGGCAGGGGGGATTTCAGACATCCCCCCCTTTTACTCATGCACCAAGGCCTCAAACTCTGAAAATGCAGAGAAAGACAAGAAATGGGTCACCTGCACCGCTGCCTTGGTGTACCAACACAACTCACTGCAGATCATGAATAAATGATTCCTATACGTAGCACCACGGCACTGAAATCACACCTGAGAGTGATAAGTAGGGTTTTCTAAAAGAGTTTTTAGACTGTATGGAGCTTATATTAATCCAGATGAAAGATGGCGGCAGCACTTTTCCATTGCTTACAAGATAAAACAGATTCAGATGTGGAAATGTTTTATAAAATATCAATGAGGCGGAAGCTAGACACCATTTACCAATCGTTTTTATTACATTATTGCTGTTTCCTAAGCATAACAGGTTATAATTTAACAGTAGCATGGATATTTGTTGATTTTCTTTGTTGAATAAAAGCAGTTGGATCAACTTATCTTACTTATCTGCCTTAATAAGTGGAACTATGGCATTTACTCAACGATATCATATTGTAAGAACATCATGCCAGCCCATGCTTTGTTCAACTATATTTAAAACCACCACACAGCTTTGCAGCTTTAATTTTTATCAAGCTAAATGCTTCATAGTCCTTTTAAACTGAAGTGCCAAATAAGTGAAAACCAAAGAATCATAGAAAAATACTTTGTAGTGGGAGAAAAGGAATTCAGTGAAAGGTTCTTGACATAAACAATTTTGAAACAATTTGATTAACAATGAATTGCTTTGATTTTCGTACTCCGGTTGTGCAGTTTTGTGTTTGCTTAGCTAGTGCTAACTAATGTGCAAACATGAGTGTCTTTAAATAAACAAAACTCCAGCATAAACTTTGTGTTTCACACAGTAGCCCCTGTAACTGGATCACTGGGCTTCTGCAGAGATGTCAAAACAATCAAAACGTTTAGCATATATAT